GGTCCAAACTTCTTATAAATCAACACGGCCAAAGTTAGCAAGCTTCGTTAAAAAATAATTCCACAATTTTATAATTGTAAAATGGGGGATTTTAATGTAGTCATATGACTTTTGACTACCACAATTTTTTAAAATAGACAGTTGAGATTATTTTTTTTTAATTTATTTTTAGAATAAAAATAAATCACTTTTTTCTTAAAAAAAAACTAATTTCAAGAATCAAAACACTCTAATTTAAAAAAAAAAAAAATAATCAAACCACTCTCCACCCTCTCCATCATTCTAAAGATTTCATCACCATAACTATCTTCAACATTGTTCACAAATGTTAGTCAATTTTTTTTGGCTATTAAATTTGCCTATTTCGTTGGTAATTAGTTTATGAATATGATACATGGTCTAATTTTAACAAATATTGTAAATACGTTAGACAAATTTTATGAATTTAGTTTTTAGTATTCAATTGCTGTAGTTTTTAAGTGGAATTTTAGTATTTTACTCTTGCAATTAAGTGATTAATTGTGTTTCAAATAGTTTGCTAATTGAAAATACATTTACTCAACATAATTTTAATTTAAACCCCTAAAAAACGAAATCTTATGTTTGTTCAATTCGTAAATGGTTGTTGAGGATTCATTAGAATTTGTGACTCCATTAATAAGGAGAGAAGAGCAAGGAGGGATGAGAGCCAAATTGTAGGAAAACTGCAAACGAAAGAGTGGTTTTAGTGGAGAGTGGTTTGATTTTTTTTTTTTTTTTTTTTTTTTTTTTTTTTTTTTGTGTGAAACTAGAGTGGTTTGATTCTTAAAATCAGGTTTTTGAAAGAAAAAAGTGATTTAATTTTACTCAAAAAATAAATAAAAAAGGAAATAATTTCGGCCATTCATTTTAAAAACGCTGCGGTAATCAAAAGTCATATGACTATATTAGATTTTTCAATTGTGAAATGCAAACATTTCCACCAAACAAAACCTTGTTGGTAGTCGACGGATCTACATTACTGTCCGTCCTTGTAATGGAGCACCATATTCTCATTTCTATCTGGGGCTTGCCCATCTCGTCCAAACAAAAAAAATATATATTTATCATTTATACACAAAAAGTGACTAATTGTAGGTGTTTTTAAAATGAATTAAGAAACCCTAATTTATACGCTAAAAAAAACCGTTATATTCTCGATCTTAAAATACACTTAAAATCATATAAAAAGTAGAATAATTGAATAAAATTGAAAGTGGCCGTAATATTTTCTGTTGATAGCTTGATACTATTAATTAATGTCTCATTTTAGGATTTCTTGCTCTATTAATAGTGACAAACTAAAAATGCGATAACTTGATTCGATGAGAGTATGTGGTGGGAAATTTTAGCATCAATTTTGTTCATTTCTCTTTTTATTAATGTATACTTTTTCCGCCTGTCCAAAAAAAAATGTATACTTTCTCCCCTGTTTTATAATTGAATTATTATGATTTTTGCATTATTCACTTTCTCTTATTTGACTGTCTTTAGTGATTTATATGTAAAATAAAACATAAATTTAGGATCAATCATGTGAGGTCTTTTTTAGAAAACGTTTTAGAATTGTATACCGATACCTAAATTTTGTACTCATCAAGAATTTAAGATATTAATAGTTGGAATTATGTGTTGACATGTGTGGTAAATGAAATAAGGAGGAAATATGTAATTTCTTTATTCTTGGAACCTTCTTGAGATGATGATTTGAATGATGTAACGATGGTGACGCCAGGACTTATTAAGTCATGATTTCTTTGATACGTCGGTAGTCATTACGGAGTACGAAAATAGAAAACAATGTGCTTTGAATCTTTAATTATGGAATTATGAGTCAGAAGACAACAAGTGTTAAGTTGCACTATTGGGAGAATTAGTTGAGCAATTTTTAATACGGAGCAATGTTATTACAAATACTGTATATATAGTGAGAGTAGTACAACAAATGTTTCTTTGCTTATTTTCTCATTTGTAGATTTAAATGATACTTCCTCACAAAAAAAAAAAAAAAGATCTAAATGAGTAAATGACCAATGAAATTGCTTCTATTCCGTAGTACGGTTGTACTTGTACAAGCATAATACTCCATACATTTTTTTTTTAATTTTGACAATAGCAAAAAAAGGAAAAACGAACTACAAATAATTAGACAGATTAACCCGACATTTCCTGGCAATGTCATTTGCCCTCTGAACCTGATCTCTCTTAACCTTCAGAATTGAGCATTTTTGGAAGGAAGCCCCCACTTCCCTTAAATCCTTTAGCAACCAAGCGATAGTAATATCCTTGCCAGAGCTTACCCGTAAGTTGTCCAGAAGGCCAGTAGAATCAGATAAGAGAAAGATTCCTTGTCGACCATTAGCCCGAGCCCATTTTATTGCTTCGAGACAAGCCCATGCCTCACACTGGATGGCTGAGCCTGCTGCTCCGTGTTTACCACCTTCCTCTAGGGCGTAGCCTAAACGGTTAGTTTTAACTGCACATCCAATTCCTGCTCTCCTTGACTTCTTATCCCATGAGCCATCAACTTCCATAATGAAATCATCGTAGATACCCTCTTCCTTTCCCAGATGCACATGATTGAAGCCCGGTGGGATGACCTGGTTATCCCTATCAGAGGCTTCCCCTTCATCTGTAGCATTCATTTGAAATTTAAACATTTCATGATCATGCATGGCTTGGTTAATAATTCCTATCACTAAACCTATTGTTCCCACAGTTTCCTCAAAGTGTCGTGCATTCCTAGTCTTCCATAGCCCTCATAAGGTTGCTATGAACAAAGCACAACGGTTACTATGCTTACCATCCTCGCTATTAAAGAGCAGGATATAGTGTTGAATCCATCTTCTCAGGGAATTGAATCCAGGTGAGTCAGGGAAAACAGCTAAGGGGCCGTGCTCCGATCCCATACTGCCTTTGCCAGATTACATAACCTAAAGAGGTGTTGACTGTCCTCCAAGTCCACCCCACAGTGATCACAGAGGGCGTCTACTTGTATTCCCCTTCTAGCCGGGTTAACTTTGACTGAAATGCTATCATGAAACAGCCTCCATAGGAAAAATTTCCATTTTGGCTGAATCTCCATTCTCCAAACCAACTTAACAAATTCCTGATCCCTTTCCAAGAAAGATGAATTCTCTAAACCCGAGTTCCTTGAAAGGTAGTAATATCCTGTTTTAACTGTGTACCTTCCTGACGGGTGATATCTCCAATAAAGGAAGTCCTCCTCAGTTGTATGCGAAAACTCCATACAATTTTAAGGAGTATTTCTTTATGAAAAAAAAAATGAATAATGTGTTTATGCTTCAAAATTATTAACCAACAAATTAGTTTGACCAAGTGACATAAAACCCTAAGTAGAAAAAAAAAATTTAAAAAAAAAATTGAAATGGGGAACAAATCTATTAACTATTACTAAAACATGAAATTACTGACATCATCATCTCCACAAACTGTGTACGTGTCACATTCTCAAAAATATATATATATATGCACTTATGATGTCATATATATTTTTAGTTATTTTTAATCATTTTCATTTCAATACATTGATTGTGTCCATTAATAAATAAATAAATAATTATTATTTTTTGGTAGCTACGAGTATTTTTTTTATTATTTTTTTTTTCTTTTTAAGGTTTTAATGTTATTTTGTGTATGTGTGTGTGTGTGTGTTTTTTTTTACTAAGGATTGTGCAAGCAACCTAACTATGAAGTCATGTACTAATAATATGGATGTTTGTTATATAAAAATGAACTAATGTTTTCGGTAAATATTTTCATTGTTTTGTATTTCTAAGGTGCTTCTATATATTTATTTAAATTACAAGTATTTTTAATTTGTAATTTGAACTCTTAGATGACATATAAATTTGTATGCACATGGTTTGATTAGATCAGATTGGTTGACTTTCATTTTTATATTTTGTTACTTATGTAATTTATGATGATAAATATGTTTTTATGATCTAATTTATTAGTATGTCCGGAGAAACAAATAACAGAAATAAGTTATTTCATTTCAATATATTTTTAATCCGTGCATCGCACGGGCCTAATAAAAAACATTAAGGATTTTTTTTTTTTAATTTTTTTAAAAGTTTTTGCCTCCTTAAAAAATATACTCTTCTTGCCCCCCCCCCTAATGTTTTTCTTCAAAAAACCAAAAAAAAAACAAAAAAAAAAAAAAAACAAAAGAACAATTCGTGTTTTAACACTATATACAAATGTTTAATTTTGCCACCAAATAAATTACAGTAAAATTCTGCTTAATAGATTATGTTTATGTATTCGTTATTGGAGTTCATCCCCTCCGTCCTACGAAGTATTTTCCCTTACTCGTTCAAGATATTCCTTAGTCCCTAACATATCATAATATTGATTTTGGTGTGTGAGCTGGAAAGTAAATCGTGGAAATGTTTAACGTTAATTATATATGTATCAAATTAGTTGTCATTTTAGTAGTTAATTAGTTCAAATTAGTCCATAAACGTGACAATAAATTCTAGACGGGAGCTAGCAGACTTATAAAAAGGGGAAATAAACCATACCATCCAAGAGTAGCAAAAGCAACGGGGAGCATAAGAGCTTGCATTCCAAGTCCTGATGATACTAAATGGAACACACACGACCATATGTTACCATTCCTCGATTCCGTGATAGGAAGCCATGCCTCAATTGGATTACTCTCCTCTTCAAATTCCATTGGAATTCTTCCAATTCATGAATTGGAATAATCCTATTACTAGCACTCATTTTTGCTAATATGTTTGTTTTTATTTCCTTTGCTTTGCATTCCAAATGTATGTATTTATAGAAGTAAATACGTAGCTAGCTTATAATTAGCTGTCGAAATCATTTGACTCATTAATTCTAATTCACATATCATGTGTTACACATATTAAATGGAAACTAGAGCCTTCTATTTGATGATGTCACATTCTCACACAATAGTAACATAGAGACGTATGTATTAAGGACACCTGTCTCAAACAAAAATACAAAATGGAGGTACTGTGTTATTGCTAAAAAATGGGGTTTCCAAAAATAGAAGAAAAGACTTGAGGTTTTTTGAACAGAAGTTTAGAGGAAACCAAAACTTCTGTTCAAATGACACTCTAATAATGGACAAAAATGCATTTTTTTTTGTAACACTAACACATATCAAATGGGAGATTGAGGGATAGCTCAAGTGGTTATTAGAGCTTTTTTTTCGATTCTAGAAGATCATGGGATCGATTCCCATTACCCGCCCTTAAGGCTCTATAAACACCAAAAAAAAAAAAAAAAAAATCAAATGGAATACTAATTATGAGTAGTAACTACTAGTAATTCTGTTACAATAATGTTTTACCATTTTACATTGAAAAAATTGGCAGTTAGGCCTTCCCTAGAAATTTCCCATATTGCAACAATGAAGTAAAAGATACTCAACACTACACCTAAACAACCAAGTCCTAAATTAAGCAAAAACATAGGCCCCCAAACCTTGGGCTTCTTAATACAAACATAAATGAAACAAGGGTACGAAAATGTCACGAGTAGGCCAATTGCTCCTACAATCGATCCTAGGCTTGGTAAGAAGGGGAATGTTATTGCTAAAAACAAGTTCCCGACGAAACAATATAACAACCTAAATGCACTCCGGAGCCAAGAGGGACATGGCCTGTCCTTCGCCAGGACATATCGAAACTCTATGTTGTCAAAACTTGCCATGGCATATATTTGGTACGTGCATAGCTGGTGTACTAATACAAAGATCACTAGAATCAGTCCTAGCATTGTTGTTGACGCGCTATCTTTGTGAAACGCTCCCAATGTGTATATGATCCCTGTCCTTGTTATCTTGTTTCCATAAGCCCAATATCCAGAAATGGCTAGTGGGAAGAGACACAAAGACATCATGCAATAAGAGATTTTTACAGCTTTCCACATTGTTATATGAGGTTGAATTTTCGAGTTTGTAGGCAATGTCCCCTGCATAAAACAAATGTTTAATAGAAGCAGATTTCAAAACAACATATATACCCTTAAGAATATGAAATGTTAATAGTCAGATTAAGAGCATGTTATATCTACCTGAATCTCAAGGACAAGGTTATGACCTTGAAACGAAAGAGCAATCATCTCCATTGCAGAAAAAGTGCTTAAAAATCTACTCAAATTATCTTCCAATTCTTCAAATATGGGATTATATGACACATTTTCAACTCTGCCTTTGGCAATGGATGTAATCCATAGAAGGGAAATTAAGACTATGGAAGCAATAGTTCCGAGGAGGGACACCCAAACTAAGGAGTTTAAGTTAGGGTGTTGTGCTAGTAAAAATGCCAAACAAACAAATATTAAGAACCATTCATTTGTGCTCAAATTTTTCGGACAATTAGAGCTTTCGGAGAAAATCAATTCGTACAAGAGTTTCAATGTTGAACCACCGGTTATAACAAGCAATGTACATGTTCCTCCTGATAGGTACAGGATTGGAATCATACACAACCATTTCGCGAGTTTTGGACCTGAACGATCAGGCATTGCAATAAGATTGGTTATTACGTACATATGCTCTAATGAAGAACTAAAGGACACAAGTGATGAATTATAAGGTGGTTACCAACCGAATGCTACCATTGCTAGCTGGACAAATCGGCTGTAGCGAACACCGGATGATGATTCATGAAGATGAACAAGAAGCCATCTTGTGTACAGTTGCCACATAAACCCTAATGACAAATATGTGACTCCCCATGCCCTGCATGCATTTAAGCACTTAGATGAGGTAATCATTCTTCTTCTAATGTATACTTGCAGTTTTATTTATGAATAATTTTTTCCTGAAAGTATTGGAGGTAGAACCTGGTTTATCAATCAACAAGTAAAAACACCTAACCTTTTTTGTATGTTTCTTTTGAATATTTCATTTTGATCGATCTACTTACGTTGTATAGGTTTGTCCTTGAGCCTTATCCTAGTCCCCCATTTGACATCAAATGTCACGTAAAGTTTAAGTACCCATACGTGTGGACAATAGATGTATGTAGCATTTTAATATTATTGTTGCATGCATTATTTAATATTTTTGTTGTAACCATCTCACGATCCCTTAAAAAACGTTACAAAAAATAAAAAAGAAAAACATACAATTAATGTATGTGTACTCCGTATATGTTAAGAGCGAAGCTAGACCATACCATCCAAGAGTGGCAAAGGCAAAAGGGAGCAAAAGAGCTTGCATGCCAAGTCCAGAGGATACTAAATGGAATACACAAGACCATACATTCCCGTTCCTCGATTCTGTGATGGGAAGCCATGACTCTATTGGGTTAAGCTCCTTTTGATACTCCGTCGCATTGCTTTCTGGATCTATATTGGTTTGGGTAACATCTTTCAATTCAATTGGAGTAATCCTATTACTAATACTCATTCTGTTAGCTTATTGAGTACTTGTATTTGAGTTTTGTTACTTTTGTATTGTGTGTGCTAATTGTAATTTGTAGGGTTTATTAACTTGGATGTACATTTGTTTTGATTATTGAACCTAGGTATATCTATTTATAAGGCTTTCCTTAGACAATAAGTACTGAGGAATGAACAAACTTAGTAGCATAATTATGATCTCCAGGTTTGTCTGATTGGCAGTTAGACAATTAGTAGCATGTTTTAGATGATACAACCCACAGAAACAAACTAACATTATAGCTCCCTAAATGTATATGATCAGTTAAATGTCTTCATCAATAGTATATCATGAATTTGCTACATTAATTCTAAATTAGGCTGAAAAGTTATTGAATTATAGTAACTAAGAGCGAAAATTGGTGTTGGAATGAAACAACAATTTTTGTATGTCTTACTCTATATTGTCTAGCTTGGAACATTATTATTGCTACGTGTATTGGAACGATTTCTCTTTGGAGCGATAAATTATTGTTAACACGTACACTTCCTAAGAGTTTCATAATATTTGGAAAATTTATCATAAAAGAAACTCTTCAAGATGTTTAGTGAAACGAGTTCTTGTCAGGTTCTACTCAAGAATAATTTGGTGTTTCTAAGGAATATGTCTGTTGGCGGAAACATCATCATGTGAACTATGCTATAGAATTGTGACAAATTGATAGAATTCATCTTTCACAAACTTGATATAAACTAATTTGGTAATTAAAACAAATCAATGAAGAGTTTAATCAATCATAAATTTGCTCAATGAAAGAAAAATCTATAACAAAAAACAAGGAAGAGGTCTAAACAAGCAAGTGTTACCAAAAAAGCTCTCTAGTTTTGTGTTCATTAATATTGTGTCATGGCTAGTCATGGCATAGAAATGTGAATGCCTTATGTAGGAGGGCAGTGGCAAAGCTGAAAATCATCAATAAGCCAGATTTGGCTTTCATTTATCTTGCTTATAAAAAGCTGATTAAGGTATGTGTTTTACAATAGAAAATCAAGAATTTTATTAAAAAAAAAAAAAAAAAAAAAAAAAAACACTTCTTATTAATTAAGGTATTTGTGCACAAAGTCAATCAATAGTAAAGTAGTCCACAATAATTTCTCCAAATAATTAATAAATTGAAATTAATATCAACCGTGAAATTACAAACACTAATTAGTAATCATACATCCTAAAATGAAACTTATCACTCATCATGTTAAGGAACACGTTGATTCACTTCACATGTTAAACGTAATCCACATCGTTACAAACTCGTCATCATTTGACCATTTGCAACCTATTTTTTCCATCTAACCCCAACCTACAAAAATACTTTATATTACATACACAACCTTATTCTTACATACTTCGTATGCGTTACCTTATTTTTGTAATTATATTAGTGAGGCTTGAAAAAATGAAATTCAACCCCATTAGCAATAACAACGTAGATACCAGCAGCAATCATTAACACACTAAGTACCATCCCTAAGACTCCTAATCCCCAATTTAGGCACCACATTGGACCATAAGCTTTAGGCTTTTTCAAAACGATCCAAATAAAACAAGGGTAGGCTAAGGTTAAGGGCAAGGCAATCCCTCCAATAAGTCCAGCAAAGCTTGCGACGAAGGGGAATGCAACCGCGAAGAAGAAGCATAGGAACCCACATAGTGCTCGGAACAAAGCTCGTAGCCACCACGGACATGGCTTCTTTTTTCTCATTGTGTACTTGGACTCAATGTCATCAAACATTGGCATACCATAGATTTGGAACGAACTTAGGGCGTTAACAATCACGAATAAACTTGTTAGGCCTAGGATGAATTGGGATGTGTCACGTCCATGGAATTGGTACAAGGCTGTTAGCATGCCTCCATCTTGTGGTATCTACATACAATATAATTATAACAATAATTAGTACATATTTATCAATTATAACATGAAAACATTAGTAATTATAGCATATATATATATATATATATATATATATATATATATATATATATATATATATATATATATATATATATATATATATATTATTTTAAAAGTGAATTAGTAATTACCTTGTTTCCATAAGCCCAAAATCCCCCAATTGCAAGAGGATACAAGCACATGGCAATAAGAACATAAGCGGATTGGACACCCTTCCACATTGGTACCCTTGATGGGTGTTTCTCGCTTGAAGGCATTGTTGCCTGAAATAATAACATCAGAATCATTCGTACTATTAGTCATGTTTCATACTTTAGACATTAAGTTAAACTTACATCGTGCACATGTGTCTATGATTTAATTTGTACTCGTATATCAAATTTAATTAGTTTGATTTACTTTTACATAAAATTAGAGCCGCCTGCCAACTCGTCTTTATCTATCTTTATTTTATGTGTCATTCTATTATAGAGATTGATAAAGACATGGATTAACCTAGATCGTTAAAGTAAATTGAGTATAAGACTCTTAAGAATCTAATTAACTAACAGTCTAACACAATGTGACATAAAGTGAACAAAAATTAATAATATATAGACGTTGATACACTAATAACATGATGTAATATACGATAACATCATTTGACTTAGCCCATGAAACCGACTTTGAACAATTGAAAGACACCTACCAAGAAACAATGAATTGAAGATAAAAACAATAAATTTTTTGATGCGGCTAGCACTGAAAAATGACAAAATAAAGACTCTTTTGAAGACTACTTTTCTCCATTTCATACGCTCACCAAACCACTGTAGTAGTGTAACACACTAAAAGTCAAATTTTATGTCAATTTTTAAACACAAAGGGGGTACCAACCTAGCCACCACACCAACAACCTACTAAAGATTTTTCCTATATTTCAAATGGCATTTAATACATCTATGTTGATTGATTTTCTAAATTGGCTTAAGAATAGGTCAAAGTCATAAATTGAAAGAGGATGGTCCATTTAGGGATAGAGTTTCATTATAAACACGCACCTTGCTTAACTAGTTGGCAACTTACACATAACAATAATATCTTCGACTAGGATAAATAATTGAGTTGATATTTGTATCATTAACCACCTTATATCTGCTACACTACTACTAGTAGTCTAAATATGTGTGCGTTACGCTTTTGAATGATTCAAATAATTAAGAAATGGAATAAATGTACATAGTAAATACATTGTTAACATGATAAATTATTACCTGAATTTCGAGTATGAGATTGTGGCCTCTAAAAGCAAAAGCAATAATCCCAAGCGCATTAAGGACACTAAACACATTCTTAATAGTGGATCCAGATCGGACTGGTTCATAGGACACTCCGGGTAGAGCATGCTTAGCGACGGACACGGCCCATATTATGGTGATGTAAGCCACGGCGGTGATGGCACCAATCAATGAAACACCCGCAATGGAGTTCATGTTAGGTAGTTGAGACAACACCACGGCAGCACAAGTAAACACCAAGTACCACTCCGTTAAGGTTAAGGGCTTAGCCGTACAATCTTGCCCACATACTATTTGGAAGAATATTTTGCACGTGGACCCCGCTATACTAATCAGAAGCACGCACGTGCCAGCTGATAAGTACATGTATGGGAACATTGCCATTAGCTTGCCTGCTTTTTCACCTGCCAACCAATTCCAATCAAGATAATATTAGTCACATTATCTTTAATTTGATTTAAATTTTTATTACATTGATCACATATAAGTTCAAGCAAGGTTGTTCGTTCTCGGTAAGTTACGTACCAAAAGCTGCAATACATAGCGTAAAGTAACGACTGTAACGAACACCCGTTTCGGTTGATTCGTGAAGTTGTACTAGTAGATAGAGGGTGTAGAGTTGCCATAGGAAGGCTAATGTTAAACAGATGATTCCCCATGTCCTGCACCACCAAGTTTAAATTAGATTGATAAGCCGAATCAAGCTAAAATCCATTACATAATACATACCAATACATTAAAGCCAGTGTGTGTAAATTAAACAGGAGGAGTAAATTTCGTAAAATAACGATTAACAAATGTTTGAACATGCAATGACCTCACTATGTTTTTGGGTGGGTGAGAGTAGTAGGGGGTGGTTTGACCAAAGCTAGAGTGTCAACATAGTTTGAAATAAATTATTTGAAGAAGATAAAAAGTCAAGTTATTCTGCCCAACGATCACATACAAACCTAATTTTGTCATGGACTTATATTCCAATACACATGTTTTATGTAGGGAAGAAGCATCACATGCATGCATGCTTTTCCTTACGCAACTACCACATTTAATGAAACACTTCCATCCGTCTCTAAAAATTCAAATTTCTATACACGTAAAAAAGATATAAATTTTTAAAATTTCTAAAACACTAAAGCTATTATATGGTAAAAAAAAATAAAAAAAAAGTCTAAACTTACTGATTATTATGAATTTACGACATAAGAGAAAATATCTAAACGGGATTATTGATTCATTCACGTATTTACATAAAATTGGGATGGTTTAAAATGTTGAAAGAAATTGCAAGAAGAAGAAAAAAACAAAGATGTGTATGGAAGATTTGGGAATTATAACTTACCAACCAAGGACAGTAAAAGCAACAGGAAGAACAAGAGCCTGAATTCCAATCCCAGAACAAAGCGTATGAAAAGCAGCATAAAACGCATTCCCATTCCTAGACTCCGTAATAGGAAGCCAAGCATCTTGAGGATCAAGCTTAGTCATGCTAATCGCCTTCCTAATCGGGCTAGCTATCGGCGTTATGGCTCTCCTCAACGGGCTAGCCAAAGGGGTTATAGCCCTTCTAAGTGGACTAGCCAATGGACTAATGAATTGCACCGGCGTCCTAGGCCTAGATCCTTTAGGGGTTTTATTATTAGTCCCATTATTAAGACCATTTATAGGCTCGACGTTCTCATTAAATGAAAGGAGAGGAGACCGGGATAAAGACGGGGAATGAAACTGTGATGGCGGGGCGGATATTGGTGGTGTCATGGGTGTGACCGTGCCCGATTTTGGGGTGGCCGTGCCTGATCTAGGTGTTAGAGGGGCTGAGTATATCTCCCTAGCTTCACTCATTTTTGCGTTGTTGTTTGCTAAACTTTACGTTATGTATGTTATAATTTTAGACTTTAGAGGAGTGTTACATACATATAGTATATGTACAAGTAGGAAATTAAAATGAATAATTGGGAATAAATGGGCCATGCATGAAGAGTGGATCGATGAGTAGGTGTAATAGTTAAGTTATTCAACATTTCCTCTTTCTTCCTAAATGGGGTTTGGTGTGACTGTGAGAATAATAAAGTTATGAGATTATTATTATTTTTGTAATTATATAAATGACCTAGTTGATGTTATCTAATTATTATTTGGCGTTTCCTGGATGATTCGGTTAATGTTAATGGGAACAGCTAGCTTGTTTATAATATTGGACCGTACTTGACCGATTGACTGTATATATGTTGATTATTTTTTCTTTGTGTTGAAGTTGAATTATACGTGCGTGTGTGAATTGAATCAAGCATTTTAGTTATGTTGATGAGATTAGTTAAAATTAATTAAAATTTAAGACTTCTACTAAAGTAATACTTCGTTTATATATTGTATAGTGGGTATATATGCTTCCAAAAATGTATTTTATGGTAAAAAAGTAGTACAAGCATTTATACTACAAGTTATATATGGAGTATTTCATAGCATGCATAGTATAGTACTAACCTTAAGTCCTTAATTTGTTAGTATTGAAATGTAAATTTTCCGACCAGCAAGAGGTTTGCCTCTATAAGTCAAACGCAACAACCAAATAAAAAATAAGGTATCCGAAAAGAATAAGTGACATACTTTCTAATTCAAGCTGTATAATAAGGGAAGAAGGGTAAGAGAATCCTCACCCCCAAAGAGGATTAATCCCAAAGCCTCATGATCGCGAGGTACAATCATACATATTTACCACTAGATCAATCACGAGTACTAATTAATGACATATGTACATATTCTTCTGTTAATGAGAGCGATGGATAGGTCAACTGGTTAAAGCTTCCCTCTTGATTTTAAGGGATCCTGAGATTAATAATTCTCATCACCCGCCGTAATATTATGTTAATTCTTTAACCTATTCAATGTGAGATAATTAATTCCGACTCATTTTTCTTAAAAAATATGCGTATCATATATCTAAATAAAGGAATTCTGTTATGACTTGTGAGATATAAGTAGTTACGTTAGTAATAAATGTTGGATAATAAGCCAAAAAAAGTGAAAAGGAAAGAAAGTAGTGGAATAAAAATACGAGAGTATAAATTTATAATAAAAGAGGGAGTAGAAAAGTCAAAGCAGGTTGGTGAGATAAAGATATAGGTTGACCTGTTATTTCCTTGGCGGTTGTCAAAGTATAGTGAGGACTACAAAATTGGCTGCCACATTATTATCTCTTTATTTGTTTAATAATTTGGTACCATTCTTTTTACATTTGTTGGTGAAAAGCTTCCCTTATAATTTGGCAATCCATAATTACAGGGAACTTTGTGAAAGAAGCCACTTTCCTTTGTCACTAAAACTTTAGCATTGTTTAATGTTTATGTGTTATTCTCTGTTGGATTGGGGCCTTAATTAAGGTGTGGGGGGTTACAAGCCGAAAGCTAAATTATTGATTATGAGCAATGTTCACCTTGGGCTCGATCCATAAGGTGGGCGGAGTGATCTATAAACTCATGTATGTATAGTTGTATACTATAATATGAGTACATGACACCCCGTCACATGACATAGTGTTATACTCTTATATGACTATATGAGCGGTAACTAAGCAACCTTCAAATTGAGTTGTATGTACATTGGTAAATAATTGATTATATTTAGAGTTGGACGTGAGTGCACTTAGGAATGCACTTGTGAAAATTAGAAGTGCACTTGTGAAAATTACTCCGTATGAAAGTTCAGAAAATCCCACTGCCAACTATACTAAGCCTTGAGCCCTTAATTGCTAAATGAATCCAAAACTTGGAACTGCAAAATTTTATTAAAACGTATCTTGTTTAGCACAAATTAGATCATCATGAATTGAACAACACTCCCTCCATTTTTTTAAGTGCTCTATTGGAACTTGGCACATATGCCGATATAGAACTTCGACCAACAATATCTTTAATAATTAATAAGCATAGATTTAAACAAGTGTATATTACTCCGAAATAATTTATTTATTGAGACAATTTCAACAAATGCTCACAAACTGATATAGAACTTTGACTAATAATATCTTTACTTATCAATAAGTATAAATTAAAATATGTGTATATTAAAATTTTATTTATTGAAAGTATAATTTTTGTTATGTATAATTTACAAACAATGTTAAATTAGTTAGATTTTCCCGTTCGTTTCCATTTTGAATTACTTGTAATTCATAAATGACATAAAGTCAGGCTCAGGCTCACTTTTACAGTTTTACTTGATTCGACAAATTACCCAGCCACTAATTTCCTGGTTTTGAGAGTAGTTTTGGACTAATGACTCTCTTAGATCGTTGATTGTGAAATTGTGACTTTGAGTGATGTAATCACGGAGTCATGGAGCAGCCATTGATGAAAGAAAACGATTATAGATTAGACAAGGGTCAACCTAAATTCTGCAGGTACTCACATTTTCTTATTCTAATTTAATTCCGTTGACAAACTTAGAAATGAGAATGTTGAATTATATCTCTGTGTTTATGGACTTTAATGGCGGTTCATTATATATATTTTTATCACAATGTATTAAAAATTACAAATTTGATAAACCCTTTTTAATTTACAGGCACGCACTTGCTTCCTTTGAAAGAAAGGCGTTTAATAATCAAAATTCCAACTCATTCTTGTTCTTTAGTCGGTTCAATATGGTTAGTCAATTCTATGTACTTTTGTTGGTCTAATAATCTTTATTAGGTGGGGTTAATCTTAATTTTTCCTAGATTAGCTTCAAGATGTGGGTTTGATTTATAATTTAATATGTCTGTTGACTAATGTTCTTTACATATGCTCAAAACCACCATGTCTGCTGCTGAATTTGGTTTCAATATGCTGCCTTTACCTTATATACGTTCATAAGGCCATAACTTTATTGTGTACTTGAATGTATACGGGCTAATGCACGAGATATATCAAATTTGCTTGGTAAACTAATGATGAAAGTTATTAGAAGCTATTGTTTTTATTTTTTTTAAAAAAAAAAAACCAAAATTTAAGGATTAAGGGGTTAGAACTTAGAATGTTGTGTTGTAAAGTAGGATAATTGACTTTTCTATTATAATCTTGATTGATGTAAAGAGGGAGTTATGGGTAAATGATGTAGACCGAATGTGCTATGAGGTCTTTGGTAACACCTGATGATTATGAGTTTTTAATTAACAAAGTTAATTGTCATCGGCACATAATGAGGTTGTTAATATTGAACTTTTCCTTATTTTTTTCTTTTGGGCAAGAAGAAAGAAGGTTGAGTGGGTATGGCTTGGGCTACCGTGGGAGTGGATTAAACTCGAGGCATGGTATAGGTATTTTCATTCTATGGATGCTTGGGTGGGGGGCGGAAGTGAGGGGATTTTGATATACTAATGGATGAGAATCGAACCTCCTTCGCGGGGGTGGAATGTGAGAGCGTGTACTACTCTATCCCTTCTTGAACCTTTATAAAATTGCAGTTAGTGACCCTCTAGATCATAGTTTAATTTATTTCTTCAGATACTTTATTTATTGAATACAATTACTGATAAAGGAAGGAATTGTACTTAAGGCTGACATATAAAGGAAGGAATTGTACTTAAGGCTGACATATAAAGGTAGAAAGATTGGGAGAGAAAAGCAAGAGCTTACTAGGTCTTGGTAAAATTGTGTTGCAGTTGGTAGTTATAAAGTAGGTATATGGGTGACATATCAGGCCCTTGAATGGATGATCAACAGGTTTTTAAACAGATGCTCTATAATTACAGCATGCATAATGGATAAACAATAATATTTGGGTATCTTGTAGAGTTGCTACAATAGAAACAATTGTGTTCCGTTGCACAGAGCTGAAGGCTCTGTTAGCCTGTCCATATCTTGGTTAAAAATGTCTAATGGAACATGGCGTGTGTGGAAGGGAACATCGTGGATAGTTACCTTTAGTTACAGCTATTGTTGAGTGCTTGTAAAATGGAGTTATGATTTCATATCAGATTGAATTCGTTCTCAAATGCAACAGGCTTCACAGCTGAATGATCAATGATGCATAAACGTTATCATGTTTTTCAAGTCTGTTGACAACTGACATGGACAAAGTATTTGCCTTCCTTTTTCTTTCAATACGTTAGGCTGGTTTATTATGAGCTTGTACTTTGCAAAATTTTGCTTGTTAACACTTTTTTTTTTCGTTTGTGGGATGAGGATTGAGGGGAGGGATTAATGTTGTAAAAAAGATCTTTTTAATCATTAACAATTTTTTGTTACATTTTACATCTATTTAGCCAATCTAGGGATAATTATGCTAACACATACAAACTTGGAAAATATTTTATTCTCTTTTCCTTAGAAGCTACATATTAGTAATTGTTGGTTAGTCTGCTCTTGTTGGGAGTATGATAATGAGGAAGAGCAACAACTATCCATCGATAAAAGGAGGGCTCTCTGCAAGTCTGTAGCTTCATGTCTTTGGAGAATAGAGATAGCATACTCCATAAATCTTGAATCGCATGGCAATGTAATCGGGCCATCACTTGTCACTCCAAACTCTTCTTCGGCCATTCTCAATAACTCTCTAAGAATTTCACTCTGAAGATACTTTAAGGGAATCACAAATCGTCTTCCATCCATTGTATAGACGACAAAGTGACCCTTTTCAGTCTCTGATTTCAGCCAGGAAATCCTTTTTCTGCTGGCTGCTGCTAGCTTCTGCCACTTCTTTGCCATACTGATAAGCTTCTTAGTACTAATCATTTTGTGATTCTTGGAAAGACAGAGGGAAATAGCTATGAAGTTGGAAGTATTAGAATTGATTTTTGGTTTATTTGAGGGAATCAGGGGAGGTGGCTGGCCTTTTATAGACCCTTGTCAATGTAACGGGACTTTACTGTCAATCACTTCACACTGCTTCCTTGCTTTCAAAACCATGTGGATGTTATCTCAAGAAAGTTCTGCCAAGCCTGCATTTGAAAGACATTTGTCAATTATTGATCAAAGTTTTACCTATATTATACAGAAGCTATCTTATGAAATAATGAAGGACTTATTGATGCTAATTGCTAAGTTGTTGCATGACATATTGGACCCTCTGATCTCATCAGGATATCCTATGGTATTATTATTGAATTAAGCAATCAAAATGACTAGGAAGCTCTATCTATTCACAGTTATTAAATTAATTAAAGTAACGACCTTTGTCATCTCATTCATATCCAGGTCAGATATTGGTACATTCCCTTGTATGAAAATAGGAGAATTCTAGAGAAAACCTTACTTTTAACACTATTTTTTTCAAAAGAAAAAAAAAATGGTAATTCTTGGAATAAGATGGAATGATAGCCTAACTTCTAGAGTTTCATCTCTGATGTACTTCAAGTTTATTACTTAGTATAATTTAACAAATGTCACATTGAAAAGCTCTGTTTGTATACATCTTCTTGGATAAAATCACAAGGCAGTTTGATAGGTTCCTCACTTGTCACTCTGAACTCTTCTGCCATGTTTTTAAACTTTAGATATAAGGGGGTCCTTAATTGTTTCTCCTCCATGTTGTTAACAAAGAAGTGACCTTTGTTAGTAATTGCTGTTCGTGAACTAGAAATTCTTCTCCCGCTATTGCTGCTAGCCTTGCCACTAACTAGTCTTTGATGAGCGTCTTAGTAAGGATCATATTCATGATACTAGAACTAGAATAAGGAACTTGTTTGTATTGGGTTTGAAGGAATTGTGGCAAGTGTCCAAGATTTTATTTGCTCTTGTCAAATGCTAGATGTTCATGTTGCCTCTTAAGTTCCATAACAAAGCCATGTGAATGCTGGGCCAAGGCAATCTACCATGCATGTTCTCATGCCTAATATTAGTGTTCTCCGAAGCTATCTTTTTGAAGGTAGTAGGCATGAAACTCTACCACACATGTCAACCCGAGAAGTGATAGATCTTTTCATAAATAATGAATCTAGGACACTTTAGTTTCTTAAGCCACTAGATTTTGTACAAGTTTAAGAGTTAATGGTTAAGATGATCACTAATCTGTAGAATTGTCTCCTTTCTTATGGTTGGTAAACCATGGTTGTAAAGCCAAAAGCACACTTAGGACTTGGCTGTTTTACTGATGTCAAGTGGTTAGTAGACAAATTAGGTACTTAAAAGTGATGATCACTGGGAAGTTATATGAGAACCACACAAATTACATCAAATTTAGGTATGTGGGGTTTTTTCTTTCTTCATTTTTTTTTCCCCCTAGAGTAATTTAGGTACTGTATGCTGTTTACCACGGCTACAGGGCTAAGGTGCATCTTTGTTAGCTATGTCAATATTAACACTGATTTTTTTTTTTTTTTTTTTTTTTTTTTTTTTTTTTTTTTTTTTGCCTCCTATCACACTGAAAAGGAGAAGAATATGGTAGTTCCTTTGTCTGGAATGCTTGGACTATTACGAAATCTTTACACAATCTCAGTATTATTAAATCAATACTGCTGTTTAATTAAATCAACAACAATAAAAGCTATCCATTAACTTGACCAATGATTAGACTGATGTTTTAAATCAACATAATGGGTCACAATTCAAAACAGTAAATGTGTTCATTGATGAAGTTTCTGTGGATTTTCTTACTCCTCTTTTTGATGGTGAAAGTTCATTATGCTAAGGGATTTTATCTTGAAGATTTTGATTGATGTTTCTTTTAACCCTGGCCTTCCTCCATCCTTTTCTTCAATGTGAAATATTTCTGTGAGGAAGGATTCCAACGAACATTAGCTTTTATGAAACATCCAAATTGCTTCTGTTGAGACTAATGAGTTAAGATACCAAAGTTGGTAAAAACCTTTTTTTTAAGGAATATTTTTTTTGGACTTCATCTATTTTTTACTCTTTTTTATTTATTTATTTATTTTTTAATTACAGTACTATATTTTTTTTTATTTTTAATCTTCCATCATGCTTGAAATTGGAATAGCTGAGTCGTACGCAACTCTACTGAACAAGGGGGTGAGGGAACTAATGAGATTCTAAGTGCAAAATTGTCTGATTATGAATAAAATATTTGGTTACATCTGTGACTTGAGCTATGTACAATTCAAGAATATGTTTGTTTCTATTTAGAAGCTACATATAAGTAATTGCTGCTTGGTGTTCTCTTTTTTAAAATCTGTTAATGACGATGAAGAGTGACAGCTAACCAAAGACACAATTAGTGCTTTCTCTAAATCTTCATTTCCTTGTCTTTGGAGAATAGAAATAGCATGTTCATGAAATTGAATCACATGGTAATGTGATAGGTCCATCATTTGACAGTCCAAACTCTTCTTCTGCCATTCTAAAGAGCTCTGTGAGTATCTCACTTTTGAGATATGTCAAGGGAATCATGAACCGTCTTCCATCTGTTGTGTAAACGTCAAAGTGACCCTTATTGGCCACTTTTGCTCTCGGCCAGGAGATTCTTCTTCTGCTGTCTGCTGCTAGCTTCTGCCACTTTCTTGCCATTTTGAGGAGTTTCCTAGTACTAATCATGATTTTGAATCTTGAGAAAAATACTTTGGGGTTTAAGAAATTGAATAAGGAATTGGTTTGTGTTGGTATTTTTGGTTTAAGGAAATTACTAAAGGCAAGGTTTTTATAGCCCCTAGCCAAAGATTTTGTGAAGACTTGGTAGCCAAACCATGTGGATGTTGGACCCAGGAGCTTG